GTGTTCAAATACTTATGTTCAGCAGTGCAAGACAAATAAATTCTTTAAAAATCATACAATGTGATTTCCTGAGTTATTTTTATTCTGTCTCTCAGAGTGGGAATGCACCTACAATGTGAATTTCAGACCCCTCCATGATTTCTAAGTGGGAGAACTTGCAAAATCGCAGGGTGTTCAAATACTTCTGTTCCTCACTGTAGCGTAATTGTATATGGTCTTCTACTTAGTAGGGTAATGAGGGGTTATTGCACAGGTTTTTCACATTTTGTATTTGCCATCAGTCTTACTGCGGCAGGGAAAAAGCTGTTGTAAAATCTTGTTCTGTGTGTGATGATGCTGTTCTTACTGCAGGTGAAGGCTGGAGCTTCAGAGGTAGCCATATTTGGTGCTGCATCTGAGCTGTTTAGTCAGAAGAACATAAACTGCTCAGTGGACGAGAGTTTACAACGTTTTGACGAGGTTATGAAAGCAGCCAAAGAGGCCGGCGTGCCAGTCAGAGGGTAGAAACGCTGGCTCACTCTTAACTGTCAACAAAGCTTTAAATCATTGGAATTGTATTATTAATCTTTGAGGCTCATCTGCGTTTCTTGTCACTACAGTTATGTGTCCTGTGTTCTTGGATGTCCATATGAAGGCAAAGTGGCACCTGAGAAAGTTGCACATGTGAGTTCTCACTTAATACATGGTTACATAACAAAATGACAGAAGGCTCTTCATCACCACCTCCTGTGACAAATCTAAGGTCAAGCTTTGTTGCTGCCATGTAGGTAGCAAAGCGCCTGTACTCCATGGGCTGCTATGAAATCTCCCTAGGTGACACCATCGGAGTGGGAACTCCTGGTAACATGGCTGAAATGCTGGAGGCGGTGAGCAGGGAGGTACCTGTAGGTGCTCTGGCAGTACACTGCCATGATACCTACGGCCAGGCCCTGGCTAACATCCTCGTAGCTTTACAGGTCAGACTTAGTTCTGATTATTTTAATGTCGGCTGAAAATGTCTTGTGATAGACTGTCCATGTAGGCGAGTTATTGTTTCAAGGTAAATATTGTCTTGCAGATGGGAGTCAGTGTGGTAGACTCGTCAGTAGCTGGACTGGGTGGCTGTCCCTATGCCCAGGGGGCTGCTGGGAATGTTGCTACTGAAGATGTGGTTTATATGCTGCATGGACTTGGGATTCAAACAGTAAGAAGTCATGCTTTATTTCTCTTTGCTACCCCTGTCTTTTAGTTTCTTTATAGCTGAGATTCTTGTGAGGGAAGAAATGCCTTGATGTATTAAATGCACAAATGTTTGCTGAATGTTCCACTTCAGCCCAAAATGCTAAATATTAAACTGTGGCTAATAGTGCTGTGATTGCTCACACAGTTTAGACCAAACTGCAATGGCATCAGAGCTGACACATACAGAAAGTAAAATGTAAAAACTGCTATGTTTTCTTCGACCTAGAGACTTCCATTTCACCGCTGGCCAAACAAACATCGTGAACCCTAGCAAAAGTTAATTTGCAGTTATAATTATTGTGTGCAGTGAAAGCTTTCTTCTGAAAAGTCTGAGCGATATACATGCAACTCTTTGTCCTCACATCAGGGGGTGGACCTCTCAAAACTGATGGATGCTGGAGCTTTCATCTGTCGAACCCTTAACAGAAGGACCAGCTCCAAAGTGGCGCAGGCCACCTGCAAACTCTAAACAAATGCAAGCTGCATGCTCTTTCACAGACTGTATACTGAGGCAAGATCATGTAACCAGGAGCCATCATCCTCTGTATGTTCAGTTTTCCTCGTTTTAATTTTAGTTTGATTGGGAATATGACTTTAATATTTGGGTAGTTGTGACCCCACCCTCTGCTTAAAAATGTGATATTTGCTACATGATAGTATGGCTGAACATGGCCTTATGTAATGTCAATCTATTCATAGGGGACCTATCTGTCCAGATCTATGCCTTGATCTGTTTTTCTTAAATGGTGTGTTTATATTACATTTTGGACGGTATGTAAGCCAAAATGAAGCACAGACCTTGTTTATAATAATAAAACAAGCAGTAAAAGTGTCTAATGAATTGTACGGAAGCACATTATATTCACCAAACAAAAAAAGGATCTTGTAATTATGACTTACTGTCTCATAATTTCAAGATGAGACAGAGATCTTGTCATATGAGATCAGGATCTCATTTATGAGATCTTTTCCTTGTAATTACGAGATGATGCCTGAAAATCATCAGGTTTTAACGATTTCTTTAGTATCACATTAACTCGGTGGTAGTTGTAAGTATATCAAATGGTGCAGAGCAAAAGTGAACTATTAATAACAATCAGCATAACTACTGTTCCAAAATGTAAACAAATATAGACGTGCCTCAAAGTTGCTGCCTACAGTGTAACTCATTATAGGCCTATGCATGTACTGAGCAGGAGTTGGAAAGCTTCAGAACCTGCTTGAGAAACACTGGGTTTTTCTGACAGCACATCCAACAGTAGGCCAGGTAGCAAAATTACCTGCTAATAGCTGATTCAGCGTACTTGGTGTTCCAAAAACAAATAGGCCTATAACTTAGGCTAAAATCGGTGCCCACATTGTAATACACTGTATCCATGGCAACGTTACATAGCCTGCTTCTTGTTCCTTGTTGAAGTTTATATCTGTTCACATGAGTGATGACTATTGATGGTTTAATGCAGTGTAATAATTACAGTCAGGATTTTATAATAGGCCCTCATTGTTGCTGTTTAGGAATACAGAGGCTACCTGATCTAACTGTCTAGATCCCATAGACTAGTGGACTATCTATAGAATGAATACAAGCTTAAATATGAATTTTCCAAATAGCTTTTTTGTATAGTATTTTGGAAAATGCCACATTAAATGGTAAAAGTTCAATTATGTGCACAGGTCATACTTTTACAAGGAACATCAAGGCGGCTATAATGTTTCTATAGATTTGAGTTGCTGTGGGCTGCAGCTTGGCCATGTTTTTAGCCTATATTTATTTACACTTTGGAACACTGAGTACACCAAATGAACCTTTATCAGTTCATTTCTGCTGTGTGCTGTTCTACTGAGAGCATTATGTAGATACTGATGAAACCTTAAAAACCCGATATTTCACAAGCTTTCCGACACCGGCTCAGTACATGTATCCTACTGAGTTTACACTGTGGGCAGCAACTTTGAGGCCCTTTTGTAGTCTATATTCGTGACACTAAGTATGCTGAATTGACTGTTAATAGTTCACTTTTACTATGCACTATTGGATGATGATGATAATAAAGAATATGTTAAAAGCTGATGCTTTTCTTGGTAAGTTCTGCAGCATTCCAACCCCTCATAATTATGATTTCTCCTGATCTCGTAATATGAGATAGCAAGTCATAATTACCAGATAACATCCTCCAATTTCTTTTTTCCTTTGGTGAATGCAGTGTGTTTCTGTAGGATGGATACACTCACTGCTCCTGTCAGAAAAGATACTTTTGACCGTCCTCTGTGCAGTGATCAGTGTTGTCAAATTAGGGAGCATTTTTGGATAATCAGCAGCAGTTCTTATGAACTTGGGCATCTAAAACATTGATTTTACAAATGTTTTGTTTAATGTTTAAATATTTATTTTAAACTGTCTCACTTCAACATGTACATATTGAACTAGATGAGTTTTAAAAATAAAACATTTTCACAAATAAAATGTCACTAATCTCTGATTGTGCACACGCTGTGTAATGTCAAGCCTTCATGTGGTCATCAGGTTTTATAGATGTTGGATGTGAAGCCAGTATGGACCATATAGTTACTAAAGTGAAGTTGGTCAATATTTTTCAGCTCCATTGTGATTTTTGTTTTTTACAGGTTGTTGCACAAATGATTCACGAGTTCACCACACCTCACAGAAACCTGACCGACAAGCCTGGCAGGCACACTGCTAGTGTGACTGTGGGGCTGTGCAACACTTTGAAATATACTGTATGGTATATGTTTTGGCAGCAGGGCGCTGGCCGTCGTGGTTCACTCAAATTCAAATGATAAACGCCGATGTAATGTAAGCCTGGGGATGGTTAATGCAGGCAGTCTATACTCATGGAATCTAAAAACGCAGCACCTGTTCTGAAAGTGGTGCGTTTTTAATTCCACGAGTATAATAATGAGAAAGATTCATTACATAAGAATGTACTATGGCGTGTTTAGTTTTACCATTAGACGGCTAACAGTTGTCCTGTGTTTTAAATGGAGTATAAATCTGAAACTATATATTCTAGAAAGACAAGTGATATAAGCTCCTGGGACACAGAACAGAAACACAAATACAACAAATGAAATATTTACTTTTTAAAAAAAAAAAAAAAGAAAAATAACAATGCATAAAATACATTTCCACCTGCACAGTGGCTAATTAATGACTTGCCAAAAAAAGCTGAGCGGTGCGTTTGTCCTCCTCCCTCCTCCTCCACTGTGCTCCAGTTCTACCAACACAGAATTAAACAGCAGCATTCCTTTCACCCTATTAAAATCAACAGTGGTCTTAGATGAGGTGAGGTTGTGTACAAGCACGTCAAAGCGCAGGCAGTTTATGTACAGCACATGGCTGTGCAGCATGAACCTGAGAGCAACAATAATGCCTGCAGAGACTTTGGATACAAAAATATACTAATGCATCTTGACCCAGAAAACAAATGCAATAAAAAGTCAATTTGGCCAGTTTATACACATTCAAGTCTTGTTCAGCCATAACACTATGACCTTTTGGGCATCCACATGCCAAGGCAGCACTGTTTACCATTCTTATATGATTCTGGGTCATTAGGAACATAAAGCCACTGCTTTAGTTAATTAAAAGAGATCACTGAAATGTGTAATCCCCACTGACAACACAGCACCCTGATACACCACTGTAGACGTTGGCTGGGAGTGTGGATACCACTGCCAGGCATGTCCCGCATCCCCCATGTCAAAATTCCAATCACAAGAAAGACAGACTACAGACAGAACATATAGTGTTCTAATAGGTGTGAACAGTACGACTGAAACAGCACACAGACCTATATTGTATTCAGAAAGGAAAGTCTTATATTAACAAATCAATGTGGCTCTAGCTGATTTGTAAATATTGTGGGTGTTGACTTGGAAACCAAAGTTCACATTCCTCTGAGTCTTAGAAGTGGACACAGAGGCCCACAGGATGAGTCCAGTACTGATGACTCAACGTCCATAGTCTGACACACACTGTAGCTTGGCTCATAGTTCCGAGTCTGTTTACTCTTAAGGTTCCAGCCCAATCACTGCTGATCTTTTGATTGTCTGCCTGTCAATCATCAGGCGAGGGAGAGATTAGGAGCAGAGGCCCTTATCTTCTCTTCAAGTCTGAGTGAACTTGGCCCCTGTGGAGACCTGTATACAGACTTGAAGGATGGAGGCCTTTCCTTCAGCCCCATCCTTGACAGTGAGTGGTTACTGTTGTTAAAGGGGTCATTGTAGCAGTCGTCAAGATGCACTGTCACGGTGCGTTTGCGCTTCTTGCTTTTATTTACAATTCGTGCAATTCGCTTGGAGATGAGATAAATGATCTCACAGATGTTCAGGACGATGCAAAGGGCCGAGGCTCCAACCATGAAGTAGGTGAAGACTTTCTTTTCGGTGGGGTGGCCGATGTAGCAGTCCACTATGTTGGGGCAAGGAGACTCTTTGCACTTGACTAGTCTTGGCAGGTAGAAGCTGTCGTAGATTCGGTGGAGGATGTAGAGGAAGCTTACCTCGATGGCCGTCTTGACAAAGAGGCTGATCAGGTAGGTCCACCACAAGCCGCCGTGTTTCTTGCCTGTGTTTTCGTACAGCTTGACGTTCTCACCATGCTTGGCCTTGTACTTACGCTCACGGTCATCACGGTAAGCTACGTGCATGACCACCATGAAGGACGGGCACGTAATGAAGATGAGCTGCAGGGCCCACAGGCGGATGTGGGCGATGGGGAAGAAGTGGTCATAGCAGACGTTCGCGCAGCCGGGCTGCTTGGTGTTGCAGTCAAAGTCCTTCTGCTCGTCCCCCCACACTCGCTCCGCTGCCACCACGTACACCATCACCCTGAACACAAACACCACAGACAGCCATATCCGACCGAACGCCGTTGAGTATTTGTTCACCCCGCTGAGGAGAGCTTGAAAGGTCTTCCAGTCCATGTCCTTGGCTGGCACTCAAATATCTTTTCTCTGGAACACTTCTTTCACTGCTCAGGAAGTGGTTTATATTCAAATCTGGACGAGGCAGAAAGAAAAATGGATGAACATGTTTTCAGTGTCTGCAGAATACTCTGCTTTCTCTCTGTGAGCATGTGTCAGTGGTGTCTTACTTACTTCAGCTGGCTTTAATAACAACGAACCTATCATTCAGACATTTTAAAGTCGGTACTCTCCCAAAAACATCTCCCAGAGATCCCATTTATCAACCCAACCCGAAACAGAAACTCTAACAATAACACAGTAATGAATAGGCCTTACCAAACTAAAGGAAACTAGCAGGACCAACGGAATTACCGCACCGAGAGCTAAAAATATATCTTTCTAAAAACGCCGATAGACTTACTTTAAATCTTATATTTGTTCTAAAATCCAAGTAAACACTGTCAGTATTCCCCTTTTGAGCTAAAGGTAGACTTGGCATTTCTGTGTAAGTCTCCAAAACTTAACAGCCTTTTTACGCACGGGCTGTGCGCATTATTCGGACATATTTTCGTTCCAAATGTGACTCGTCACCGATACATGGTCCCTCTGCTACGACCAGTGATCAATTCTAGAATCTTATACTGATGTACAAAAGCTAAAGAGTGAACAAGCTTGAACACACTAACTTCCACTTGGCTAAAACTTAGAACTTCACCAAATTTAGCTCATCTGAGACACATCGAAAGTTAATTACAGTAAACTTCACTTACCAAAAGAATAGGTGGTCTGTAGTTCAAAAACACGTGAGTACGCATATTTCCAGTGGCTTTCTTGTTGCTTTAACGTCGTGTTAACACAGATAGAAGTTTTCTCTGGGCAGGTAAACGGGCACAGCGTTTAGAAATGCGCCTGTGGGTGGGGTTAAAGAAGAAAGACTGGAGCTGGCCCAGATGTTGCTCTGCCTCCCACTACCTCTCTCCCTCTACCGCTCTCTGTCTCTCAGGCCCGTGTTATGAGGCAGTTCGAATATTTCACACTCGAATAGATCCATCTCTAGGTACTGTATCTTTGAAAGGGATTTGGAGACAGGTGCGCACATAAAGGATCAAGTCTAAAAGACGGGATTATGCTAAAGTGTCAGATGACAGTCTTGGCTTGCCAGTTATTGCAGATCATGCCTCCAGGAACCGAGCTGCCCCAGCTTGTTAGTTAGGTAAAGACACGCCCTAAGGTGTCATTAGACGTGGTTATTCAAGTCTTCAGTCTCTTGTTGTTTCAGGCTTCCAGACATGGGAGTGTTACCAGCCTACATTCTTTGACATGTTCTGACAGGCCGAGAAAGCAAGTGGCGAGGAGATGAGGCCAGATAAAGTCACACGGAACAAGTATATATTTTGTATTTCCCTGTTCCTCTTTCATCCATTTCCTGCACACATTTTTCTGACTTTTTCACGCTACACCCACAAGTCCCACAAAGGTGTATTGTACTTCTTTTATTCTTTTTAACACCAAGCTCTACTCCGATAACACACAATTCACCAACTCCCCACACCTTTAAAGATCACCCTCACTGCCAGATCAAGAGTTCCAGTTTTGTCCCCACTTTACCATCCACCTACTTGTATAACAATTTTCTTAAACCTTTGCCAAATAAAATTGCATCACAGTATTTGTCTTATGTAGAACACATCCCATTATCAGCCATGTTTGCAGTCCCCAATGCTGCAATGAAAATCAAATAGCTTTCTTAAAATGCCCCAGCTGTGCCAGAACGTGCCAGGTCCTGCAGGCTGGTCCCTGCCTTCAGAGCTATTGAAATCTGTTTACATTATACAAAAGACTTATTCATGAAGTCTCACAGCAACTTTGAACTGTTTCAAATGAAAAACACAATCATATCCGTCATCTCAATGGGCTTGTTTCGTGCTCACAACAACAAAACAAGGCCCAGTTTTCTATGAAAACAATGAGGTTCAAGTTCATACATGTTATAGTAATTTACCCGAGTGTGATTATAACAACCGTTGAATTGCAACACACACCCTAGAAGGGGAAAAGCTTTTTGGCTCTGAAATAATAGGTTTCGACAGTTTTCCATTACACACCTGGAGGAATGCATTCTCATGACTCCAGCTCTGCCTGACTCAACAAGCTGGAGCAGCAGGATAATCACATCATTAGACACTGGCTGTATCACGAAAAGGAAGGAAATGTACCAGAGCAGAGAATGCCAGGGCAGGAGAGATAATATCCTGGATACCTGGGGAGGGTCTCATAGTGAGAGTAACTGTTGGCTTATTTACTGAACAGTCATTCTGAACAAACAGCTAAAGGGCAAAACTCATATATTAAAGCTTACTTTTTCATATTTTCGGAGCCATTACATTACACTGATAACCTATAACACTTGAGGTCATGGCTCCTGTTTGGGCAGTGATTCCACTGGTGAAGAGGCCAGCTGAATCAGATCACTTCACCCCAATTGCAGGCAAACATTTTTCCTTTTACTCCCGCGTGTTACTTCTTCAGTCAGGTGTTTTTTTTAATTTTTATCTGCTGAGGATGTGACATTTTTTCTGCCAGCTCAGTTCACACAGGTGAACAATATACACATCTAAAAGTGGCTCTCATCTAAAAGTGGTAACTTAGGGAGCTGTCTCTCCTGAAACAGCTCCCTAAGTTACTATGCTAATCCTCGGGCCTCACGTTGGCCTCCACGGTTTCCATTCCACTAACAGAGATGTTAGTGGTCTTGGTGAAAACTGCCTACAGAAGATCTGGAAATGTTTGTAGAAAGACACTTTGCTGTTTGAGTTTTTACATCTTTCTTTATGCTAAGTGAAATGTATTCACTGCCATTGTGTTGAGGTGCCAGTAGAAGTTTCACAGGAAAATATCTCAACACCTCAGCAGATACAACTGAAGAAAACACTAACTGTTTTTTTTTTTTTTTTTACTCTCAGTCTTGTCTGGCATGCTGCTGTCCACGTACTGCAATCATCCACTCAGTTTCTACACAGCCCATGCCTTCCTGCACTGGGTGGCTTCGCACGTCAGCACGGATGAATCAAAACGAGTATGTGAGACACTCGTTCTCTGCCTTTCTCAAAGTGGCAATAAAGCTAAACAATGAGAAGGCTGCTCATGGCAACAAGGCAATCTGAGCAGAAAAACAGGGAGGGGGGGCTTTGTGGCACAAGGAGTGAATATGAGCCAAAGCAAATCCTCTTCCTCCGAGCTACAGACGTGGCTGGTTTCCACTGTTAGCAATACTTTTCCTGTTACCATTACAGCGCTTGTTCTCAGTGTACAGCTGTTCAGACTGCTGTGTGTGAACCACTCTAAAGAGATCTTATTACACATTTTTGTAATGTAAAAAAGATTTTTATTGAAGAATGCAACTATGAAGCCCTGCTGCACCTCAGCGCTGTGAAACACACAAACCCTGATTGTAACAACTGTTTACAAAATTCCATTGCTCTCTACTACCTGTATACAGAATGACAAATAAGCACAGTAGCACACACAACAGCACAGGGTTTCAAATTTTTGATATATTATGTAAAGTACAGTATGTACAGAGAGTCAGATGTGAGTGAAGGGAAAAGAGTGGAGTCTGAAGTAAACATTCTGAGGCTGGGCACTGAGCAGAGGGAAAATCTTACTCAGAAAACCACATGTGTTCATACTCTCCAACCATGGAGTGACTCATGTAATTGATCTCAAGGCTAACACTGGACCACACAAATGTGCTTTTACTTATTCATTTTATTTTAGTTTAGTTTTTTTTCTCCCCACTTTGCAACGGTTACAGAACCTCATCTGTAAAACCCTCTGTAAATGTTCTGACCCAAATCCACGACGATAAGTGCATTCCAGACCGGTAACACATGACACATATGTGTTGCAGTTCAGAGTCTTTTCTGTGTTCACAGAAATCACAAGGAACTAACTTCACTGTAGTCCAGTCTCCGAGTAGTCAGCATATGCTGCCACTTTTTAGGAAATGTCTGTGGAGGAAGCAGAGGCTTCTTTCCTTTCTCATGTCTTTTTTCCCATATAGCCCTTGCCGTTTGTGTCAGTAACTGAACATATGGCATATGAGGGTGCAGGCGTTTCAGGGTTTTTGCTCATCAGCCTTATACCGTTCGCCTCCACCAAGGCACTTCCAGCGGAAAGTGTGTCAGGCACGGACCGATGAGAGTCATGGACTGACAAGGAGCATTCATAGCAGCGTTTGCAAACCAGGTAGAGGATTTCCAAAATAGAGAGTACGATGCAGACCAAACTGGTGACCACCATGAAGAGGGTGAAGATTCTTTTCTCAGTGGGTCTAGCGATGAAGCAGTCCACCGTGTTGGGACAGGGCTGCTGCGTACACTTGATGAGGCTGGGGAAGTCATAGCCCTCATAGATGTGGTACACGAGGTAGACAAAGGTGGTGTCCACACCTATTTTGAAGATGAGACTGCAGATGTAGGTCCACCACAGGCCTCCACGCTTCTTGCCAGTGTTCAGGTAGAGACTGCGGCAGTTTTCGCCATGCTTGAGCTTGTTCTTACGTTCCCTGTCCTCCCTGTAGGCTACATGCATCACCACCAGGAGCGAGGGGCAGGTGACGAAGATGAGCTGAAGGGCCCACAGTCGAACGTGTGAGACAGGGAAGAAGTGGTCAAAGCAGACGTTGTGGCACCCGGGCTGAGCTGTGTTGCATTTGAAGTCTTTCTGTTCATCACCCCATACCTTCTCTGCCGCCACCACAAACACCAATACTCGGAAGAGGAAAACAATAGAGAGCCACACTCGCCCAAAGGCTGTGGAATATTTGTTCACGCCACTGAGGAGGCCCTGGAGGAATGCCCAGTTCATGACGAGGTTTGCTTAGTCTGTCTTCTCTTCCCACTGATGGAAAGCAGAGGACACTC